CTGCTATACACAATTCAGCCGTCGTTCTTGCTCATTCAACATAGCGACCATCTCTGTACCGTATCACAACACTGACCTGACTGATGCGGGGTAACTAAAGAGATCTTCTGATAAAACTCTATGTTGCTTGTCACCACTGGTGATAGTAGAACGAAAAAACGTCAATTGGTCGGATGAGCTCCTGAATCGCTTCAATCCTTGTTTCACCAGTTCCTCATAACTTTGCCAGCTGGGTTCCTCATAACGCTTGACACCCGAACATTATAGGTGAGGCCAGTTTCCACAGCTCTGCCTATAAGTGACAGAGCTTACCCCTCCTGTTCATCAGAAAATGTCATCTCGTACTTGACATCAGTAAAACATTGAATCCAATGATCATGTATCGGAAAGGCACGGTGTTTGATCGGATCAGTTGAAAGTCAAGCTGGCCTCATTAATCTGTGTTGAACGTAATTTTGCTGCACAGCTGAAAAGGCTGACAGCGAGATGGAGCAAAAACAGGGAAAGCGATTGCTCATGTGGGTGTAGTAAAACGGTAGTAACGTATGAACAGAAGCTACTAAGAAAGCAGTTATGCAACCAAGAAGCATATTTACGTAAGAGAAGGCTTGAAGATTTTTTTCAATGAAGCAATGAATTTGCTGATGCAACAAAAAGGCAATAACTAAAGTGATGACACGATACTTTGCTTGGTTTATCGGAGTGATTTTTGTGCTTTTTTTGCATAACCAGTTCCACAAGCTAAATTTAAAAAACGTATTTTCAAGGCTTCTTCAAGAAATGTAAAAAAACGAAAGTTTAGGTACTCCACGTAAACGTTTGGAATGTGTAATTGCAAGTGCTTGCCGAGTCACAAAATTTTCTAACACCTTCTTTAGCAAAATAAACAGTAATGCATAACGTAAGGACCTAACTCGATTTCTAGGTACAAGAGTTTACGTCGTCCGCTAATTCTTGGCTATGATGGTTGTCTCTCAAATGAGTCTTATGGACTGCCTTAACTTCTCTCAGCGTCGCAGAAATCACGTTAGTCAATCCAGTAAGTTGTCAGCTTTGGACTTGAGCGCTTGGGAACTGATCCCAAGACAATCACTTAGCTCTCCTTAGCTTTAGCAGCAAAGCAACATTCAGCACTGTTGATCATGAGGGGAGGGGCACCACTGAATGGTTAAATCAAGCAGATCTTTCCTCGTCCGCATGAATAGCTCAGTTGCGAGTATTGATGTTTTCAATTGAGTTAAAGCCTTAAGTCTACTGCTGATTTCCCTATGCAAGTAGTAGGGAGGCCTGCCTTACTTCCTGCTACTTACATAACTAGTAGCTTCCTCAGTACTTCTTCATTCACGTAGACAGAGCCTTTGTAGAAGCGCTTGTACCGCACCAGTTTCGTCCTAGAAACCATTTCTTCTTGCGACCGCAGATCTTCTGGTGGAGATCCATCATGTCTTGTGGGAAAATGACGCAAATAAGAAGCGCATTTTTTGCTCTCCGTAAGTATCAATACACTTACACCAGTTCAGTCGGTAGAACAGTGATTCTTTAGTGGGCTAGTGAATCAAAACTGTTGCGAATAGCTTCAATGCAATATTATCTTCTAAGCACACTTCTCGATTCATCCCTTGAAAATTACTATTTCATTCTGCTGCAGAAGCAGTTAGAAGAAGCGACTCAATCCATGTATGTATGTATGTATGTATGTTTGTATGTATGTATGTATGTATGTATGTATGTATGTATGTATGTA